ATTTATAATGATAGGATCTCATTATTAACTAATTACAATGTTTAGTACATTATTTTTTTTGCTGGACGTTCAAGACAGGCAAAGGACTTATGGGAGTCCTCATCGTAATGAATGTTATACAATTTAAGTACAAAGGAGATGGCGAATGGTGTAGTTGGTGAGGGGAAACTCCTGCAGTTTAATTTGGTATGTGGATATATAACAGATGGAGATGAAGAATGGTGGTTTTGAAAATAGTGGGTGTGTGTGGGTAATTAATATGGTTTTTGTTTGTGTAGTTTTTCGTTCATTTTCAAGATATCTGTGGTCCTGTGGATATATATATATATATATATATATATATATAGCATTGCTACTCTCTTTTGGTTTTGTGGAAGACTTTGGGTGTTAAAAAATTAAATTATCTAATCCGGTTAAAGTACGATTATATAAGTTAAGCCCATACATGAAATTTATTTTAACCAACACTCATGTGTAAATATTACAATTAGCATTGAGATTTAAGATATATGTGAGATTCTCTTTGATTTTTATACAAACAGTATCTATTTAAATAATAATAGTATAATTAAACTTTGTAATCTAAAAAACATACAATAGAAGTAATTGCTTTAAAACAATCTAATCTAATCTAATACGAAGAAAATAGATGAAAATGATGTGAAAATTCTTACAATTTTATAATTCACAATTTATCAAAAACTAATCTAATCTAATCTAATAAGGAGAAAATAACAAAAGCACATATATGTTGAAGGAGATAAAAGTGCTATAAAAATTATTGTAATTTCTAATCTGAAAAAAGATCAAACATACAATATAATTATTTGCTTTAAAATAATCTAATCTAATCTAATCAAATAAGAAGAAAATAGATGAAAGTGTTGTAAAAATTGTTGATATTTCTTGATATGAAAAGAAGATCAAATATATAATATAATTATTATTTTAAAATAATCTAATCTAATCTAATAAGAAGAAAATAACAAAGGTAAATATATGTAGAAGGAGATAAAAGTGTTACATAAATTGTTGTAGTTTCTTGGCATATAAACTTTGGTATGTGATGTTACATGTGAGAGGATAACAATTGTAAATAGAGTCTATTTAAATAATAATAGTATAATTAAACTTTAAAACTAATTATGCAGTGTCGTGAACTACTTGAATTTTAGTTGGTGAGAGATCGCTACGTTGTGTCCTCATATCGCAGTCGTTTATTTTAATTTTCCTTTTTTATAATTTTCAAAACGATTGTCTTTTTAATTTGTTTGGTGGATTTTGCAAATACTCCGTCCACATTATGTACATTTGTAGGTCTGCGTTGTTCCGGGGTTCGACATCTGCAGCGGAAATTATTTGTCTCACTAATTTGTTTGGTTTTTCATCTACGCCATCATCTTGTATATATTTGTAAATTTGGCATTTAATAAATTCATTTAGGTTTACATTTCAATTTAAACTATATCATTATCTTCATACTATATATATCCAATAAGAATTCATCAATTTATCAACTTACTCTTAATGGATTAATTTGAATTTCAAGTGTATTTTTGTCTACCAAAAGATTTTTCTGAACTCGTGCTTTTAAAGAGAGTATAATATAATATAATATAACCCATGATTATTGACAACTTTGATTTGTTTTGAACAAATGTAAATAAATTATGCGTAAATAAAAATTTGGAACTTTAATGAGCTATAACCCATGAATTTTGTCAATTTTAGTTCATTTTTAACAAAAATAAATTTATTGTCTACATCAGACTTAGTGTATTTCATGGCTTTGACCCACAATTTCACCAATTTTGCTTCATTTCGAATGAGAAAAATTATTATGTACATCATAATTTGTGATTTTCATTAGCTATAGACTATGATTTTTGTCAACTTCGGTTTGTTTCAAATGAAAAGTAAATTAAGTGAATAAGAAAATTGAAATTTTAATAAGCTAGAGCTATTGCCCACATTTTTTGCCAATTTTTGTTTGTTTCGAACAAAATTATGTGTATATCAAAATTTGCGATTTTCAAGGAATATAACCCATGATCTTTTACGATTTTGGTTCATTTTGCATATATGTAAATAAATTATGTATACATTAAGATTTGCGATTTTTATGAGCTATAACCCTATATATTTTTCAATATGATTCATTCCGAATAAAAATATATTTATTATGTGTACATCAAAATTTACATATTTAATGGGCCATAACCTATGAATTTGGACAATTTTGGTTCTTTCAGAACGAATATAAATAAATTGTGTACATAAAAATTTGAGATTTCATAAGCCATGACTCACAGATTTTTTTAATTTGTTTTTTTTTTGAATGAAAATAAAATTTATTATGTGTACATCAGATTTATATGAACTATAACACAAATTTTTTGAAGGAAAGTTATTAGGTGTACATCAAAATTGTGATTGTGCTATAATCACAGTCTTTGAAAGTTTTAGTTTTTATAGACTAAATACGTGTACATTAAAATTTACAATTTTCATGGAAACCCATAATTTTTGACAATTTTGGTTCATTTTGAACAAAAATAAATTTGATATGTGCACATAAAAATTTGTGATTTTCATGAACTATAACCCAAGGTTTTTTTGTAAATTTTTTTTACTTCAAATGAATGCAATTAACAAAATTTGCAATTTTGATCCGTTATAACTCATGACTTTAGACAACTTTAGTTCGTTTTTTTTAACGAATGTAAATAAATTATGCATATATCAAACATACGCGAGCTTAATGAGCTGCAACCCACAAATTTTATCAATTTTGGCTTGATTTGAGCAAAAATAAAACTATTATGTGAACTTGGAGTATTTCATCAGCTTAAAGCCACAATTTTCGCCAATTTTGGTTCGTTTATAATGAAAAAAATTATTATGTCCACGCTTAGCATTGGGCAGGCCTTATACAATAACTGTCCTAGTTCTAAGTATCTCTTGTTTCATTTCTTCTAGATCACAAAAACTTCTTTTATTATGGATCTACTATTAGAAATTCAATGAAATGCCTTGGGTAGGCTTTATACAATAATCGTCCTAGTTTTACCGTATCTTTTGTTTCATTTCTTCCGGATCATAAAAACTTTTTTTAATATGGATCTACTACTAGAAATTCAATGTGTAATCTCAACATTAAATGTGTATTCCGAAATAATCTATTTTTCAATTATTCAACCATTTCATGTTACCAAGTTCAATGCTAGCCAAACTAGTCAACATTTATATGTTTGGATGCAACAACAATACGTTATTTATAACAAGTAGTTTTATTGGTTTGTTAATTGGTCACATATTATTAATGAAATGGGTTAGGTTGTATTATGTTGGATACGGAAAAATCATTCGATTCAATCTACTAAGTACCTTACCTTATGTCTTTTTCAATTTCCATTTCCGGAGTTCCAATGCATTTCCACGCCATTTCATTTCTCGAGGTTTCAAAAAAAAAATGGACAAATTCCTTTTCTTAGGAAAACTCAAGAAAAAGGATAAAGGTAACCTCACTATTAACTACTTCATTTTCATTTATTAATTTCATAGTAATAGAAATACATGTCCTACAGAGTCAGAATTTGTAACTTGCTACCCTCATGCCTAGGAGGCACAGATTTACCTCAACAAAAATACTAATTCATTTAGATCGACTTGAGGGTCCAACACCATATACATTTTTCATGATATTATGTATTGCTCAGATATATAATGGTCAGTTCCACAAAATATTCTTCCATAATGGACTATAATAAGTGAGATTTCGAATAAGTGTTTACAAAATCTTCTTATGTCTGAAGAAATGATTCATCAAAATAATGAGTTACTCATTCCATTGATATGAGCACGATCAAGAAATGCTCCAGAGGGATCAAGAAATAATGAGTTACCCATTTCATTGATTTGTGTTTTTCATGGGCTATAACCATGAATTTTGACGATCTTGGACCATTTTCTAGGGCTATAAAACATGAGTTTTGATAAAATTTTGGTTCATTTTGAACAATGTAAATAAATTATGTGTACATCAAAAATCGAGATTTTCATGCGCTATTACTCAGATTATTCGATTTTGGTTTGTTTCGAATGAAAATAAAATTTACTTTGTACGTCTAATTTTGCTATATAAGCTAATTTAGTTAATTTTAATTCGTAGCGAATGGAAGTAAACTTATTTAAGTGTATATCAAAAATTATGATTTTCATGTGCTATAACCCGTGATCTTTGACAGTTTTAGTTCGTTTCAAAAGAAAGTAAATTTATTTAAGTGCACATCAAATTTACAATTTTCATGGGGTATAACCTACAAATTTTGATAATTTTGGCTCATCTTGAACAAAAGTAGATTTATTATAAGCACATAAAATTCACACTTTTCATGAACTAAACTTAAGATTTTTGTTAATTTTCTTTCATTTTGAATGAATCCAAATAAATTACTTGTACATCAAAATTTGCGATTTTGATGAGCTATAACCCATATCTTTTACAATTTTGATTCAATTTTAACAAATGTAAATAAATTATTCCTCCATCAAATATATGTGACTTTAATGAGCTATAACCCACAAATTTTATCAATATTGGTTCTCTTTGAATGGAAATAAATTTATTATGTGCACATCAAAATTGGTGTATTTCATAGGCTTTAACCTACAATTTTCGCCAATTTTGGTTTGTTTCAAATGAAAAAAGAATTATTATGTGTAAATCAAAATTTGTGATTTTCAAGGGTTATAACCCCTGAATTTTGACAATCATGATTTGTTTTGAACAAATGTAAATAATACATCACACTATATTGCTCAATCAATATTGTGAAAGAAAGGACAAATATAGGAAACAGAACTGGCAAACTAGGTTCACGACATTCAGAATTAATAAAGAATAAAAAATGAGAACAAAAAGACAAAGGTTCACAGGTGAACTAACATCCAGACATGTACGTGCACTAAATATGTGAAGTATCATCATAAGAGCTAACCTTCCAAATGACATGACCTCCTGAATCGAGTGCGAGTACATCCCCATCCACCAAGCAGCAAATGACTGCAGAAGATTAGTCTTAGTCCGGCTAATTTGAAACAAAAAGGTTTTGGGCACCATCAGATTTCATAGTACAAAGCGCAAAATAAACGAGCAAATAATAAAGCAATGTTTTTGGCAAAAGTTTCGAAGTGATATATCCGTTGACAAAAAGAGCGAATACCATTTCTACTGACAGAATTCATTGCTAGCGATCCAAATATTGGTTTTCCCGATTCATAAGACCAAATCACCTCGAATGGAACACCCTGCTTAATTTAAAGATGGAACAAACCACTAACAAGTTAAAAGGATGACCGGCATCACAAAACTCCCAAAAAGAAAAGGACTTGGTCAAAATTAAATTTTATGAGGAACAACAGTTATCACAATACCTTTATTGACGTTCCAATCACACGACCACTTGTAGATGCCACATAGATCATGTTCTGTACCTAAAAGAAGATTTGCGAACTAATTAGCAGATACTGGCAACACATCCAATTAGAAGTAAAAGTGGATCATTAACAATGGTGATAAATTAGTTTCTCCTAATCTCAAATAGGAAAACTCTATCATCTACAGTAAGTCATAACCTATGTTCCATGGGTACGGGTACCAGCACAGATTGGGGGACACGGTAAATTTGTAAAAGGTAGGGTACAGGGACACGGCTATATAAATATTTATATACATATATATTAACTGGAATTAATAATTTACATGAGAACAAGGACGGGAATTAAAATTCCTATAGCATTTTTATTTTTCTTCTATTATGTGGGTTATAATTTAGAAAATCGCTAGTTTTTTAACAAGACATACCAAACGGCCCTTCAAAATCATTACTCGGACCTGACCTGTGTCCCACAAGTTTCAAGAAGTGGACATGAAGTGTAGGATATATGTCCAAGAAGTGTATGGCAAGTGTTTTGAATTAAAACATGTATTTTGTAATTGAGTATGTGCCTGAATAAATGTATGCATATATGCAAGGAGTGTCCAAGGAGTCTGGGCACAGATACGGGTACGTGTAAGTGCCGGGTTCAGGTACAGCTTCAGCTTAGAAGTATCCAGAAACATAGGTCATAAAATAACTACTATAAAACATTTACACGCTGAGAAGTTAAAAACAATAATAATATCACTTACAATATAAAACTATAAGCATTTGCTGGCTGTCTGCTTACTATTGATATTTTATTAAGGGGAAAAAAGAAAACTAAACATGTCGCACATGTAACTTGAAGATTGGTTTCTATATACCAG